TCCATTGCAAACCTGTTTCTAGAACATAAAACAAGTGTCTGTGGAACAATCAGAGTGAACAGAGGGTTGCCACCAAGCTTGAAGTTTCAACAATGAAAAAACAGGTGAAACAGCTTTCCGTGTAAAAGGTGATGTTCTCGTTTTCATATGGAAAGATAAAGAGAGAGAATGGTTTCAAATCCATGACTCATCTGTTTCTATCACGGGAAAGAAAAATAGAATAGAATAAAAAAAACTGTGTGTGTTCTCCAATACAATGTCCACATGAAAGGTGTCGATTGTGCAAATCAGTACCTCTCATACTACACCATTCTCAGATAAAAATTGAAATGGACAAAAAAGGTAGTACTTTATCAAATAAATTGCAGCCTTTTAAATTCATATAATTTACAAAGCCCTGAATCAACAGAAACAAATATAATATAAGCAGTTCCTCCTCTCTGTGGCAAGATAATGGATTACTGACAAAGAGAAAGAAGGCTTATTGGGACTAGTGAGGAACGAACCGGGTCCATCATCTGAAGGTATAAAGAGAGCCCCACAAAAGGATCCCCCAGGAAGACTGTCTGGTGTCATGAAGCAGCATATTACTGTGTTCATTTCATCTACAGGAAAAAAGAAGTTTCCTACCAGAGCTTGCAGAGTTTGTACTGCCATGGGAAAAGAAGTGAAGCTCGATACATATGCAAGTTTTGTGCGGTTCCATTCCATACAGGAAAATGTTTTACAAGACACCATACTATAAACATTTACTAGGTGTCTTCATGTAAATACTTTGTAAGTTTCAAATAAATAATAAAAATATAGTTGAGTTATGAACAAATAAAACACATCCGACTCCTTTCAAACTCAACATTTTAACAAATGGCACACAAAGACACTCTGCATGAAACAGGAGTAAACTCGTAACCCGTCGGCAATGTGTTAACCAGTAACAAAGACATTTTTTGAAAACTTTTGTTCAAAACAAGCTAACTATATAGAAAGTAAAGGTAACATAAATATTAACAAAAATGGTGCAGCCTAACAAACTAGCACGAAGTTCTTGATGCTATAAGTTAATACAACTTTAAAAAGATAAATTACATTATAAATCCATAATTAATTTTGAGATGAAATTGATCCTTCTCTAATTAAGAGCCAATAACTTTTATTACAGTAAAAATGCTTTTGCAAAATTAGTTTAAAGTTTTTCTGCCATGAAAAACAAAAAGCACTCACCTCCAACACAACACAAGGATAACTAAAGTTAGGCACAAGAGAGAAACACAAATGGCACAGCCAATTCCAGCAATCATTTCAAAGCCATTTAGAAGGCTTTCAGTTGTCTGAAAGTATGTCAAATTACAACTAGAATACTCAGCATATACATAAAGATATCACATGTTCAAAGCTTGTGCATTATGGTGTTCTAAAAGCACTAATAAAACACATTAAATACATGATTTAAGTAATGTTCGTTAAAACCACAGATGATGCACGAATATAGTCACCCGTGGGTAGAAAACGTATTAAGTTAAGTTAAGTATTAAAGGAAAAAAACAGCTCATTCTGTGTAAGTTATGTGCAGAAGAAATTAATGTTAACGTAGAGAAAATGAAACAAAAATAATCATATTTCAGGACTACATTTTTTACACTGAATTACACAATTCTTAGAAAACGATTTTACAACAACAGTTTTTCATCATAGCTTATATAGCTTCTAATTACTAAAGAGGTTTTGCAGTACTCCGTATTTATATAACAAAACAGTTAAATCTTTTTTTCTGTTAACTTATACAATACAGTAAAGTCTGAAACATTCACAATCAATTGAAAAGAAGTCAACAAATAAATACATTCATACTTATTTTCAATAAACTCTGTACTTACAGCTTCTGGAACTGAAGCCAGAAGCAAGGTGAAAGTTCCAGTCTGATCACAGATACAAACTACCTGCTTATCCACATAAATTTGACGACATCCATCTATGAAATATTGGAATTTTCTGGAAAAAATTAATAACTCTAAATTACCAAATAAAAAGCATAATTTATAAACACAGATCTTTTTTTTCTTCTTCTACAACTGTGTTCAGGAAAATGTTTAGTCTCTTTGCTTTATGAATCTCTGTTTTGTGTTTTCCTTATGTCACTACTACAGTACTCAGAAAACTTTTAATCTGTCTGCTTAAATGGCCTCCTCAAGCATGACTTCTTGGAGTTAATTATTAAAACACCTCAAAAGTGTAAAAGTGAAAAAACGAAATAAACTAAAAACACTCAACTTCAACACAACACAATAATAACTACAATTAGACACATGAAAGAAATACAAGCGGCACAGTTAGGCTCATGAGAGCAATACAAATAGCACAGTCTGTTGCAGCAATAGTTTAAAAAATCCATGAAGTAGATAGCATGTAAACCTTTTAAACATTTTATTATTATGTCCTTTTTTAAAAAAAACATAAGTTATACTTTCTTTTAGTGGAAGAAAACAGTAACTTTCACAGCTACATGTCACCATGCTACACCATTTTCGAGGAATACCAACCACACCTTCATTAGTATCAGAGCATAATGAGATATCTTAATGACATGCTAAGAAAACAAAAGGTAAGTGAAGAAATGAAGATTAATTTATATACTTACTCATGTGAATAATCAATACGCCCACAAATTAAGAAATGGTTTGAGTCCTGGAATAAATGTAAATATAGAAATTACTTGATAAGCTTCATGAATTTGTTCAGTTAACCACACACACACACGAGTTGGTATAAAGCAAAGCCATATTTACCAAGAAAGTCACAAAAAAAAGAGTCTTTATTTTATGGTATAGGCAGCTGACATATTAGACAGATAAACAGTAGCTAAACTTTGTTGTAAAACAGATCTGCTGCTAATAGTTGTAAAGCACAAATAAAGAGCATTATTTGTGGAGCAAAAATATATTGTGCAGTAAGAGGCTAAGTAAATATATATGTTTAGAGCACCACTAAAAATGCTGTAAAATAACTGGCTGAGCAAATATATGTTTAGAGCATTACTAAAAATGCTGTAAAATAATTGGTTGAGGAAATATATATGTTTAGAACACTACTAAAAATGATGCAAAATAATTGGTTGAGCAAATATATGTTTAGAGCACTACTAAAAATGATGTAAAATAATTGGTCGAGGAAATATATATGTTTAGAACACTACTAAAAATGATGCAAAATAATTGGTCGAGGAAATATATATATGTTTAGAGTACTACTAAAATGCTGTAAAATAATTGGTTGAGCAAATGCAATAGAATAAAGCACTGCCAAAGATGCCACAAAACAAATGGTTTTATGAATGTATTAGGTACAAAGCACTACCAAAGATGTTGTGAAACAACTGGCTGAGTAAATGTATTAGGTATAGAACATTAATAAAAATGTTGTATAACAGCTGATTGAGTAAATGTCAGTTAAGAAGCACTACCAAAGATGCTATAAAACAACTGGTTGGAGCACTAATATAGAGGCTGAGTAAATGTAATAGGTATATAGGACTACAAAAAATCCTGTAAAACAACTACCATATTTGCCCAAATATAATGCACACTTTTTTCTCCAAATACCTCCCAGAATACTGACTGCACATTATATTCGCACACAATCAATTTTGTTAGGTACTTACTAAAGGCTACCACCAAAAATCATTAAAGCATCATTAAAGGTTTCAGAAAATATTGCATATCCAATGCAATGAATGGATGATGACATGATGTAGGAATCTGAAGAGGATGAAGCAAAAGTTTAAGAAAGGAACAATTTTAGTGATGACGAAGATTTATGTGAAGACGAATGATTAGCTTAGTGTATTACCAAGCATAAACTTTTCAATAAATTTTGTAAAATTGACAAAAAATAATCTGTATGTCTGTCTGTTTGTTATCTAACTAATCCTAGGTCACCGGGTCAATCTCAACCAAATTTTGTAGGGTGATAGTTTGGAACAAGGGGCATGTTAATTGGGGTTCACAACCTATCCATTCCCCATTATTGCTACTATTGAGCATATATTATATTTGACGTAAGTTAACTTTAATTACATTCACAGATGGCGTCACGTCTTTACACCACAAAAGGAAACAAACTTTATTCAATTTTCTACAACACAACATACACACAGTGTTGAAGGAAGGACACACAAATATTTTATATATCTCTATGAAGGCTGCAATGAAAAAATGGCTACCATTATTGCAAAAATACAAACTCAGATGAAGTTTATGCTACAACAGCCACCATAATGTTGATATGAAGAGTGTTTCTTGAGTTATACCCAGTCTCTACTTTGACCGGTGACCTTACAACTTCAGCCCGTAAGACACTTATGTGGCTATTGACTGTCAATTAATTAATCACATGAAACACTGTGGAAGGACATTAAGAGCTGATTGTTGAAATTGGGTGACAGGAAGCGCACCTACTGCCACTACTTTGGTATCGCACAATTTATACCATGTTTTAAGCATACAAATATTGAGTTTTTAAAGCTTATACAAAACTGTTAGCGAGGTAACAATGAATACTATATTAATATGTTACGTTATAAATAAACTGTGTAAAAGTTAGGATTTTTGTGTTATTTATCATAGCATCCACTCCTCATTTTTTAAAGTTCATAACCTGAACAAAGGACAGGTACTTCAGCTTGTTTAATACATCGATAGTTGTTTACTGTATTTAAAAACTATTCAATACATTTTGTACAACTAATGTGTAAAAAACAAATTTTCTTCAGTTAAGCCTTTCAAAATTGGGTGCGCATTATATTCGGGCAAATATGGTAGTTGAGTAAATGTATTAGGTATAGAGCACTAATAAAGATGCTGTAAAATACAAGGTTGAATAAATTTAGTATTTTCTTCAAAACTTTAATGGTTGTTTTTTATGCTGCTTCTTGTACCTACACTGTGGTTGACTCTACATCAGTAAAACAAAGATTCCGGATAAAGTACCGTTTTCTGATGTTTCTATCTTACTGAATTTCTGTAAAAAATAAGATTCACTAAATGTGTATACATACTAGAATGTGCTTGTTTGGCTCAAGGCTTAACTTAAGCCTAAGGGAACCAGCTTTTTGTCCAGTCAGGTTCCTTCCTGATCTCATGGCCACACCTACAACTCTTGAAAACACCTGATGCACCTGATCACTCTCTCTGTTGGATGGTGAACAAAAATATCACTTAGTAACTGATATAATTTTAAGTGACATAATAAATAACACACACACACACAGAGGCTGGAAACAAGAAAGAGCTATCAAATATAAGTATTCAAACTGAAAGAAACTTAAAAATCATACGTAAGCAATGTGACAGTTGGCAGATTGTATAAGCATTGATAATTGTCTGATAGCTAGTTATAAGCAAATAATTAACTAAGAAAGCATAGGTATGCAAACTGAAAGCTAAGTTAATAACATAAAAAAGTATTATAACCGATCAAAATATTAAGCATTTTGACGAACATAAGGAAGCAAAGAAACTGAAAGTTTAACAGAAAGAATAACAAACACATTTAGTAGATTAAATAGGTAAAAAACAAAACATATAGTAGATTACACAGGCAAAGAAATTAACATTTAGCAGATTAAACAGGCAAAGAAATTAAGATTTAGCAGATTACACAGGCAAAGAAATTAAGATTTAGCAGATTACACAGGCAAAGAAATTAAGATTTAGCAGATTACACAGGCAAAGAAATTAAGATAGATTACAAAACCTAGAGAGTAGATATTTAACAGGATAAACAGAGAAAAAAACTAACAGATAACCAGGCAAATAAATACTTTAGACACAACTGAATCAATGGATAAGTAACATATACAAGTGTAAAACAACAGAAATTGGATAGTTAGGTAAATATAGGTAGATAGAAGAAAACTTAACTAAAATTTGTTTAAAATGTCTAGCAGCATAAGATGAAACAAAAACATCTTAAAAACACACCAGTTCTGCACATTATTTGGTTTCTAAATTTACCTTGCTTTAACTTATTTATATTATCATAAAGTCAGCAAAAAAAAAAAAAATTACAAAATTTGTATTAAGCTAGGCTTAGATAACATCTGAAACATTATCGTCTCGCACAGTAATCAAGTGTTCTTGTACGATGTCGGGTTGTTTTGAAGTTATGTAGAGAAATTATGGAACTGTTAATGAAAAACTTCTAGATAAAGATGATGCTTTTAGAAGTTTATTTTTTACGTAAGAATTTGTCACACTAAAGCACAAAATCAATTAATTTTCCAGTCAGAATAACATTATAAAATAAACATATATATGTGTTTATACACATCAAACTTCCTTGATGCAATACCTACTCATAATTTCATGATTTGTAAGAACTCTTGAATTTTATTTGATTCCCTCAGATGTGATTTTTGGTGACGGATAGATGATATTCTTGAGTTTTTGAGACGGATTATCCAGTACGCAATGAAAGGCATTACCCACAAGTTATCTGTATGCAAATGCCAGTGATATATGCAGCATATGTTTTGATACAACTTGATATCTCTGTGTCATTAACAGTCTCTATCTTGGAAACTGTCTGGATGGACCTATCATGCAATTATCAGTAAAACAGACAAATTAATATCCACACTGACCTTTAGAAAGTAGTTCTTGTCAGTATCATCAGTGACTCATGCCACACTTTCAGAAACCATAATCACAAATTTTTATTATCTGCTCAAATGATATTTTGAAAATATGATAAATACATGTATTTTTGGCCACCCATAAGCTGCTTCAAAATGTATAAACAGAGAATCAGATTTTCTATCCACTCCACTATGAGTGTGCATGCTTCAAATAAACTGGAACCACCAACCTTTGAGAAGATATATTTAAGTCAGTTATAGTGTTGTTGCATTTCCAGATCTTGTTAAACTTGACTAAGTTGTATTTCATTTCCAAAAACTGAAAAGGCTTTCAAGAGGCATTCAGAGATAAAGTAGCTCTAAATTGTGATTATTCATGGTTAGTACTAAAATGTTAAATTTGCCTTGACTAGCTCAACTTAATAAATATATATACAATGTTTCAAAAGTCTTCCACCTTTTATCTTAAGGTCAGTGTGTGGAAGCTGTCTTATATAGTATCCTGGTGGACTGTGGAGGATGAATTGTGATTGGTTGTTTATCCCTAGTTCTGATTGGTGGAATGGCTGCAGGTGGCTTTAACCATTGGTAGCCACAGGCTGCTCATACAAAAAAGGCACCTTCTAATCAAGACAACTGGAACACAACATTCTGAGTTTATACAACATTTCACCACAAATACAAGACATTTGGATATCTTAAACCTTTATACCAAATGCTACACATCCAACTTGGAAAATACCAAGAAGAAACAAGTCCAAAAATTCAACAAACTTACCAAGAACAATTATCCTACAACTACCAACATAATTTGAAAATTCAGTTCAAGTACACTACGTGATACAGAAAATAAAATCCTTGACCTAAGCCTAAACTTCATTATATAACCTAGCATACTTCCAACTGTAGACATAGCTACAATCTTAAAATCTGCTGCACAAAACTCCCAATAACTATGGCTGAAGAATTTCAACATCAAACTTACTCCATCCTCAGGAATGCCAAGAAACCTAAACATAACATCACTAAACAGAAATAGCGTACTGAACCATCTCAAGTGGGAAAATACAATCACGATTCTGCCAGCAGACAAAAGAAACAGTATAGTCATCCTAGATGTCAATGATTATGATGCCAACATCAAGCAGTTACTAGACAAACATCAATACAAAAAAAGATCACCAATGACTCTACAGAAAGAACTGAGAGACTCATCAATATAATATTAAACAAACTCAAGAAACAAATGTTAATCAACGAGAATTTAGCCAATGACTTAAGGACCAATGAAAAATTTCCCCCTCAGTTCTAAGGACTACCTAAAGCACACAAACCCAACATAGCTTTAAGACCAATTATCACTGCGATAAACTCGCCTTGTCACCAACTAGCTACCTTCTTAGTACCTATCCTATTTCCACTACATGGAAACACTGAACATTAGGTTCACAATTCGAAATATTTCATAGAACAAATCAGACAACTACACATAATATTATCGTCAGTTTCGAGGTCACAGGCCTAGTTATCAATGTTCCAACTGCAGAAATCCTTCAAATGACCAGACAGCAACTGCTGAATGACAACTCTCTACCACAAAGAACTGACATGAAGATAGATGCTATCAAAACTAACACCTATCTACCACAAAGAACTGAAATGAAGATAGATGATATCAAAACTAACAACTATCTACCACACAAGAACTGACATGAAGATAGATGCTATCAAAACTAACAACTACTCTACCACAAAGAACTGACATGAAGATAGATGCTATCAAAACTAACAACTATCTACCACAAAGAACTGACATGAAGATAGATGCTATCAAAACTAACACCTATCTACCACAAAGAACTGACATGAAGATAGATGCTATCAAAACTAACACCTATCTACCACAAAGAACTGACATGAAGATAGATGCTATCAAAACTAACACCTATCTACCACAAAGAACTGACATGAAG